AGCACTCATAAGAGAATTAGAAAACAAGCTCTCAAGTATGAAATACTGCTCAACTATAACTCTAACGTGCATACCATCCTAACAAAATATTCCTCACTTAGGAAGAGAAATGGTTTCCTGCACATATTAGAACTCAAATATCTCTCAGCAACAATCTAGAGTGAGAGGAGACTTAGCCCTGGTCTACACGGGGGGGTGGGGAGGGAGGATCAATCTAAGTTACGCAACTTCAGCTATGTGAATAACGTAGCTGAAGTCGATGTACTTAGATCGACTTACCGTGGTGAGTCGACTGCTGCCGCTCCCCCGTCAACTCTGCTTTCGCCTCTCGCAGCACTGGAGTACAGGAGTTGACGGGAGAGGGCTCGGAGGTCGATTTATCGCATCTAGACTAGACACAATAAATCGATCCCCACTGGATCGATTGCTGCCAGCCGATCCAGCAGGTAGTGTAGACATACTCACAGTGTCGTACATCAATTTTCTGTAATTAAAATTAAATCAAACTATCTTTGAAAATGAAAAACTGCACTCTCTAGATAGGATTTAATTATCCTTCTAAAGTCACCTTTGTGATTTTGACATACTGTATTAGAATGGACTGATTTAGAGCATAAGGAGTCTCACCTGAAAATTGGAAACCAAACAAAACAGAAAGAGGTGACAAAGATATTTGCTTTCTCACAGTTGCAGCTGGACTTGAAGGGGTTTCAAGTAAGTGCTGGGTTTCTCAGTGGAATTTTATTAATCTGTAACAAAATTTGAGGCTCCAACAGATTAAGTGTATTTATAGTATGATTACACTTCAAAAGAAGCACAGTATGGGCCTGATTTTCCACTACCTTGCATTTTCAGCTGTGCCCAGCGTGCACAGAATGCTGCCAAATCAGAACTTTTGTGCTTTATACTCACTTTTCACTGACGGTGCAAAGCTGTGAAGAATGAGAGCTTTTATATTAGATATTGCCACTCAAATCAAAATTTGCCACTTTTAGTACCACCAGCCCTTACAAAGGGGGAAATTCAAAAGTAGATATTTGTAATTCCAAACTAGAACAGCAAGCCCATATTATGGCAGTTATTCAGTAACTAGTGCCTGTCACAGGTAAGGCGAGTTCTAACTTCCATTCTAAAACCCCTTTTTTCAGTTGCTCATAATTTTTGGATACAAATTCTTTTTGATCTAAAGTTTTCCATGCTTGGACTCAGTAAATGGAATGTTCTGCAAGTTTGAACCCGGGCTAAGATTGAGCTGATCTGCGGCATCCTAGCGCTTCTCTGAAACTGGTATTATGATCCAGAATCTCAGCTTCCATTAAATAGTTCAGTTTACAGATGTAATGGTTATGAAGAAAACTTTAAAAATGTGACTCGTGTAACTGATGAAGAGATGCTTACAGAGAATCTGGAACAATAGCTCTGAGTAGTTTGAACTGCCCAATTCCTGTCAGTAAGGAGCTAACTCAGAAGCCTAGTGATAATTCAAGTGTCAGAACTGGTAACTGTTCGCTCCTCGTGTAAGAAAGGAGAGGGAGGAATCACAGAGCTACACGATTTACTGTGTGTGATGTCTCATTTAAGTGCTACAAGGGGTGGTGTTTTAGAGTTACCGCTACTTATGCCCCTGGTCTGAACAAAGTTGGTTCAGTTTTGTTTTGAATTATGGGTGTGAAAGCGTATATGAGTTGGATGGAAGGACACGGGTGGGGAAAAATGCCCAACTGTTCCCCATATATGCTAAATGGACTTTTTTTCACATAAGTAACAGCTCAAATTAGAATCACTATGCTAGGCTTATTTTATTAACTCACAGATTTAAGGAAGAGACCAACGAAGTTCTGAATGTTTAAAGTCAGAATTTTTAACACATGCACAGCAAAATATTTCTTTATTCATTCTAAAGCTGGAACATCCAGGGGGCATGGCAGGTCTTAAAGCACACAAGCTTTGAATCAGTCTAAATTCCAGCTCACAATTTGAGTTGACCTAATTTCTAACAATAGTAGGGAAGCCCAGCATCATAGGTGGCTGCTCGAGCTAGCACTACACACATGGAACCCTGGGTACATGGTCGAGCAGCTGCCATGCGATGAAAGCTAGTTCAGGTATGTGAACCCCTGCTTCCATCACACCACTCGACTGCAGAATAGAATACCCAATGTGGTTCTGTCTCCTAGTGGCTGGACCACATAGAGGTTTATGAATCCCTACAACCTTTAAGGTGACAAAATTGGGTCTTTTAGCTCAGGCAGTGGAGGCTCATGCTTTTAGATCCAGAGATATAATTCCTGCTGCAGATAACCCTCTCAATGGTGTCATATTACATTATATTGAGTTTTCACATGAGATGAACTACACCACTATACTTATACCATATAACTTACTGTGTAAATACTCTTATTCAGAATTACAGCAACCTTTTTTTCAGTGTAGCTGAATTTTTGCATTAACAGTATTATTCCAAATAACAATGTCCAAATTGGGAATTATACCAGTATAGTAATGCTGGTAATATAGATATGGCCAAAGTCTGCTCCCATGGAAGGCATTAGGACTTTTGCTATTTACTTTAATGGGAGCAGATGGCAGCCCATAATAAGGCCATGACATACATGACAGCTGTTCCAGACAGCAGGAACTACAGAAGAGGGGAAGGCTCTTGCATCAACAGTGGAAGTATGTGGAAAAGCTTCTTTGTGGTCACAGATATATTGAGAATCATATCCAATAATTAAGTATTTTAGTATCAAAGTCTGGGGTGAAATCCTGGAGTCATTGAAGCCAATGGCAAAACCCTCATTGACTACACGGGTGTCAAGTTTTTCTCCGCACTATCTAGTGTTCATGTCTCTCTTTTAACCTCTACAGATTTCTCTATCCCCAAAAGAAATTAACAAATTGTGCAGAACGCCAGTTTGCTGCAGAAGGTGGAGTAACCGTTATAGATTAAAATTGGGGAATAAAGACAGGAAATCAGAATTGGAATTTGCTTTAAATCTCCTGATGAGGAGGGACAACAGGATAAGAGAAAATGACAGTGACAAGAGCCATACCTCTCTATCTCCCCTGTGCAGGGAACCTGAGGGCTCAAAAAGCATATCTGGTGAATGGAAGCTACTGAAGAGCTTGCTACTGTGTTCCTGCGCTGATTGCCCTGGGGGGTAGAGGTACTGGAATAATTTGTATAATGGAGGTGCTGAGAGCCATTGAACCAAACTGTAAACCCTGGATATGATGGAAACCACTTCAAGCCAGGTGGAGCAGCAGCAGCCCCATCACCCGTAGTTTCAGCACCGACTCCTGGGATTCTGTTGAGGTTCTTACATTGCCTCCATCACCATGGTAAGTCAGCACATGATGGACTCTACTTGTTACCAGTCAATAGCTTCCTTTGCAGCTGTCACATACATTTCTGTGAGGGGGGCCAATTGGTCCTCTGACTCTTTCTTTGGCCAGGCACCAGGGGTAGATGCATTGCCCCCTCTCCTCCTGCCTCTGTGCAGAAATGTCGCTGCACTGCCAGAGGCTCGCCTGCCAGAGTGACTGCTGAGTCTGCTGAGGGGGCCTCTCCCTTCTGGAGGGCTCCATGGATGCAGAATCTATCCAGGCTGTGAAGCTCTGATTCGGCTCTGTGCTTGGGTCAGGGTTTGGCTCAGATATTGCACTTGATTGAAATAATTCTCATCATTTCTACCTTAAATGATATACAATTATTTTGAAAACAAAACCAAAAGTGTGTTTGTACGTTTCCTAAAGAAAGGGGAGAAAAAATGACACAGGGACTGGGTTTTTTTGAGTAAAGTTTTTGCAGTTCACCTTAAAAATACATAAAGATACTTTAAGTGCAATAGTAATAGTGACAGCATTAGCAAAATACAGTAGCACCTGGTTGTGTTTTCAGTTGCTTGATTTTGATGTGACTTTTAAAACATATACTACTAGGTTCTTCTCTGCATTACACCTGTGCTAAGCCAGAGTAACTCCTTTAATGTTAATGGAGGTACTCTGCATTCCCACCTGCATGACTGAGAACAGACTGATCCACCGCTGCTAGTAGCTTTTCACTCTTAATATAGTCATATTTTCCTTGTGAATAAAGTTAAATTTCTGGATTGCTGAAGTATAATTAAACACAAATAGAGTAATCTTAGAATAGCTCTAAATTACATTCTTTTAAATTAAAAGCTAGTGGGTTAGCAACAGGAAAAGATTAGGTAATATACTGTAGTGTTTTAAACATTATATAATTAAAAAAAAATCCAAGAAAACCTCAGAATTGGAGTGAAAGATGACTCAAAATCTTCACTAATATTTTTATGTGTGGATAATTCAATGTTTGCTTTGCTTAGAACAATTTTTCTAACTTCTTTTGAGTTACATTATATGGGACAAAACATGAACCACCCCCCATACACTAAAAAATACCTTTAAATTTTTCATAATATTTCCTCCTAATGTAGAATGGACACCTTAAAAAAGTTTTACAGTCTTCCACATCCTACGTAGGGGGAATACCTGCTCATAACAGTAGTGCTTTGCTTAAAAATCAGTAAAAAGAACATTTTAAAGTGTGCCCACTGTAAAATGTATTTCAAATTACCGGGCTCAAGTGTGTGTTTTTATATATATGTTCACACTGACTGCTTTTTGCATGAAAGGATTCCAGTACTAGTTCTTAAAAACGCTTGCAACATAAACTATGGGCCAAATATTCAGAGGGACTAAGCATTAGAACTCCTACAAAAGAGATTTGTGTAAGCTCTTTGGAACAGGGACCATCTACCACTCTGTGTTTGTACAGGGCCTAGCACCATGGGGCCCAACTCTTGGTCAGCCCAAGGCACTGCCGTAATAAACATTTTAAATAACATAAGGCTTGTCAGGATTTGGCTCCGTAACAACCAGGCATCTTTTTAGTTATACTGATGGACAGATATTTCTTTAAGATTTTAGTCCCGGAGGCACAATATACATTTGTATTGACAAAATAATGACAGTACCTATTATAACGTGCATGCCAAGTCTTGCCAAATGCTTCACAGTATGATAACCAATTCCTTTAGCACCTCCAGTCACTATAGCAACATTTCCATTTTGTGTAGGGAAAACTACATGAAGAGAAAAAAATAACTCATTAATTCACAGTAGCAATACAGATAAGGCTATAAGGTACATATTATAAATACATACATACATTTAATGGATCACTCAACTCTGGCCAATAAAAAATACAACAACAAATCTGGTAGGCAATTAAAGGAACATAACACTTACGTTTATCAACCACAGTATAATTTTCTAGTATTAATAGTTCACAAAAGACTGAGGTTGATGACACACAAATGATAGATGTCCAATTAGAAAAATGTAGTCATTTCTATTTGAATACATTCTGTTGTTATTGTTGTTGTCCTGCAACAATCTGTCCTTTAAGAATTTTGACTTAGCTATTTCTATTGTCTAAAGACGCATGGCAGCTGTTACAAGTCAATTTACAGGTTGTTTATTTAGTCAAACATGTATACAGGGATAATATAAGAACTTTTCAGTTAGCAGCATGATATCCTTCAGACCCTTTGGGAAGGGGCTCTGCGTTTGCTTCTCCAATAATAGGGAGCAAAATCACAAATAAGCTGAACAAGAAAAACCATAAAAACAAAATTCCTGATGTCCACTTCCCAACATTGCTGCACTCCAGTCTATAGAATATAAAAATATTAAAAACATATACAAACATATGTCCCTGTGAATATTTGAGGGTTTATCTGTTTTAGTCCATATTTTGTTCATTATGAGCAGAACTGTGCAACTCTTACTCACGTAAGTACATAAGAACGGCTATACTGGGTCAGACCTTAGTCCATCTTGCCCAGTATCCAACAGTGGCCCATACCAGAGCTTCAGGGGGAGTGTACACAACATAACAATTATGGAGTGATCCACTTCTGTCTTCTACTCTTGGCTTCTGGCAGTCAGAGATTTAGGGTCACTCCAAGCATGGGGTTGTGTCCCTGACCATCTTGGCTAATAGCTATTGATGGACCTATCCTCCATTAATGTATCCAGTTTGAACCCCGTTATACTTCTGACCATCACAGCATCCCATGACAATGAGTTCCACAGGTTAGTTGTGTGACAAAAGTAATTCCTGCTGTTTGTATTAAACCTGCTGCCTATCATCAGGTAACCTCTGTTTTTTGTGTTGTTTGAAAGGGTAAATAATACTTCTCTAATCATTTTTTCTACACCATTCATGATTTTATAGACCTCTATAATGTCATCGTTCCCATTAGTCATCTCTTTTCTAAGCTGAACAGCACTAATCTTTTTTAGTCTCTCCTTATATGGAAACTGTTCCATATGCTTAATTGTCTGTGTTACCCTTCTCTGAAACTTTTCCACTTCCATTATATCTTTTTTGAGATGGGGCAATCAGAACCTGACACAATATTCAAAGTGTGGACGCACCATGGACATAGTGTCATCATGTTTTCTGTCTTATTTTCTACCATTTTCCTAATAGTTCCTAATATACTGTTAGCATTTTTGGTTCGCTGCTGCGCATTCAGCAGAAGTTTTCAGAGAACTATCCATGGGAATGCCAAGATCTCTTTCTTGGGTGGTTAAAGCTCATTTAGAACCCATCATTGTACATCTATAGCTGGGATTATTTTTTCCAATGTGCATTACTTTGCACCTATCAATGTTGAATTTCATCTGTAATTTTGTTGCCCAGTCAACCAATTTTGTGATATCCCTCTGTAACTTCTCACAGGCTGTGTTGGACTTACATATCTTCAATAATTTTTATTGTCTGCAAACTTTGCCACCTCACTTTTCACTGTTTCCAGATCATTAATGAATATGTCAAACAGCAGAGGTCCCAGTACAGATCCTTGGGGGGACCCCATTGTTCACCTCTCCATTGTGAAAACTGACTGTTCATTCTTACCTTTGTTTCCTTTCAACCAGTTACTGATCCATAAAACAACCTTCCCTCTTATCCCAGAGTTACTTAGTTTCCTTAACAGCCTTTGGTGAGAGACCTTGTCAAAGGCTTTCTGAAAGTCTAAGTACACTTTATCGACTGGATCCCAATTATCCACATGCTTGTTGATTCCCTCAAAGAATTCTAACAGACTGTGAGGCATGATTTGCCTTTACAAAAGCCAGGTTGACTCTTCCTCAACACACCATGCTTATCTGTGTGTCTGATAATACTGTTCTTTACTATAGTTTCTGCCAATTTACCTGGTACTGAAGTTAGACTCACTGCCCTGTAATTGCCAGGATCCCTTCTTGAGCACTTTTTTAGAAAATGAGCATTTAGCTACCTTCCAGTCATCTGCTACAGAGGCTGATTTCAGCGACAGGTTATCTAGTACAGTTAATAGTTCGGCAATTTTATATTTGAGTTCCTTTGGAATTCTTGGGCAAATACCATCTAGGCTTGGTGACTTATTTCTGTTTAGTTTACCAGTTTGCTCTAAAGCCTCTTCTATTGACACATCAATTTGGGACAGTACCATGGCTTAATTAAAGGGACTCTTTATGTGGGTAAGGATTACATCAATGTGGTTTAAGGATCGCACAATCAAGCCTTATATGAAAAAACCCCAACATCAGCAACAGAAAAGAAATTCCAGCTAAACAAGAAGAAAGGTTGAACAAGCCATGACTTCAACTTAATTGCTTTGGGAAAAAATATATTACAGAAATAAAATAAAATCAGAGCTGTGGGGAGTCTTTCAGTGTAAAAAAAATGTGGCATTTTTAAAATTAATAGGGCTTTTCTTTCTTTTGAGAGTAAACTACTGGATGCTCAGGAAGAGAAATTGTGTTGAATATTTTAGTCTGCAGCAGTAGTGTCCCTAGGTAGTGGAGTAGATACCACCACCTTCACTGTCATTCTCTGACCTACCAGTATCTCTCAATTCCTTCTGAGCTGTCAGTGCTCACCTCCAATCAGCCTGTCATGCCAGTTTCCACTACCACATTTTCAACAAATATCTTTGTGCTTTTCCCCATGCTGTCCCACACGGTTTGGAGGCACTTTCCATAAACATCGACAAAGCTACCTCATTATCCACCTTCAAATTCCTCCTGAAAACTCTTTTGCTGTCAGGTCTATAAAAAACTTGACAACAGTGAGGCTGCAAGTGTGCCAAGACCACCACATACCATGCTGACCAATATGGTCTCATTGTTTAATTGTACTTCCCCATCTGTCTGTCTCCATCTGCTGTCTCTTATCTTATCCTTAGCTTGTAAGGCCCTGTTTGTACAGCACCTAGCTCCAGGGAATCCTGTTCCATGACTCGTGCTGCAAGGCACTAATATAATACAAATAACAAATAAACAATAGTCTCACACTAGCTCAAAAGGCAGTAGGCTTTGATCTGTCCAAAGGTTATCTAACTTTGTGTTACCTAAGAAAGGAACCCCCTAAAATGTAGTTACAATCCCATATTTTTAAGTAGTCTTTAAACACACTACTTGTGCTGCTCCCAGGAGTTTTCTCTTCCCATATACATATTGGGTAAACCCTGGCTTCACTGAAGTACATTGCAAAACTTCCATTAACTTCAACAAGACCAGGAGTTCCACCCTTGGTATCTTAAATTCACAATTTTCCTTGTAACTGAAAGGACTTATATTTGGGTAGCCCTTGTCCCATGTTTAGGTGTGCCCTCATTTTTTAAAAAAATGAGAGCTGTGTGTATACCTGCCCCAATAAATATATTCTCCAATAAATAAAACTTCATTAAAGGCTACATTATGCTGCCTCCCCCATCTTATTCACCTGGGGGAGCAGTTATTCACAGGAGTAGCCCCACTGACTACCTATCTGCGTAACTGTCCACTCATATAAATAAGGGGCCCACAAGCAGGTCCTAAGAGTTAAGGTTGAAATTACAGCTGGAGTGAGCACTGAGTAGTCTACTAAATTTTCTATTCCAAAGGCCTTTTTCAGGTGTTTATTACTTTGCTAAGCTTTTACCTTTTTGGCAGATATTTTCCAGGTCTGCTCTCTCCATGAGGACACTTGAAAAGAAATGTTAAGCAAAAATGCCTCTGCAGTTTTTGAAAATGGAGTGAATAAAAAAAAATTTCCAGAATGAAATAAGAAATTGCAACTTTTCTATTAACAGTTCTTGTGCCTAAACAAGACAAGGCAGAAATTTGTAATTTGGCAAAGAAATAGTCTCTAGGCCACATCTTTTCCTTTCAGCCATCCAGTGAAAATAGTTTGACTTAGCAGAATTGTTAGAGTTGCTAAAAAGGAATAACAATAATGGTTTATTAAATATCAATCTTATCACATTATGTGGGCACTGTAACTTGTGTGGCATTTTGGACTCTATCAAAATGCTATGGTAAATTCTGGCTCTTTCAATGTACAGGTGCATATGGTAGAAGGTAGTATGTTCACTGAAAGGTGCAAATGAAAGGAGGAAGGTGGCCAAAGCAGCAGCTGGATGATTTCTTTTTAACATGACACAGCACTGACAAGTTCCAATCTGAAACAACGGATGAAATGGCTGAGGACAACAATTTGGAGGTGGACTACAGCATAATGGATCAAGGGAACAAGAAGGGGCCCAGTGCTGATGGGACTTTGACGCAGGAAAAATACAGCAAATGCATGAACAACAAAAAAGTCCTGCCACAAAGCAGTTTTCAGCACAGAATCAAAGGGCCTGATTCTCCAGGGTATTGTTCCAATTTCACACCAGCGACTTTAGTGAGACCATTCACATACTTAAAGTTAAACATATGTTTAAGCACTTTGTTGGATCAGGGTCTGAGTTCCTTAAAAGTAATTCCAGTTGAAGAATTTTGGAAATCTTTTAGTTCCAACATTTCAAAACTTTCACAAAGAAACAATAACTAACTCTTTTTAAGCTAATATTCCTTAGCCCAAATGAGCCTTCACTTCAAGATCTATTCCTTAGGATTTTCCCCAGGAGGTTGGTATGAGTTGGGATAAGAAGCATTAGGATTTTATTGATGATGGGGGCAGGATGGTCCATTTCTAGACAGTGCTACAATTATATGCATGTGTAAAGACAAATGCACCTACAGGGCATAAACATATGTATGTGCC